GGGGGTGATAAATTCCTGTGGATGTGATGGTTAATGACTGAAAATTTATCACTCCTTCAGTGGCACAATGCCTTCGTCGAAGACTAGTTCTGGATATTCAACAGAGAAATACATTTCTAGTTCGACCCTCGTAAAACTTTGGATGGGCTGCAACTAGCACAACCTACAGGGTGCTTTGCTGTTTTTTGCTAATAAGTAGCACAGTGTTGTCGCCTCAGTTGGTGTGTGCAGTTAAAAGTATTTTTTATACGTTTCTGATCAAAGGAAAAATATAAAAAGGGAGAAAAAAATCTATAAGAACAAATAAGAAGGATCTAAGCAAAATAATCTGATACTTTTGGCAAGGGTGGGCACCAATTTTGGAACAACGACACATGCTTAAACCAAAGCTAGCAGATTCACCAAACTTAACAAGTCTGCTAAGCAACTAAGCTTGAATTCATAAATTGGAATTTCTCCACAAACCTGGAATTTATTGAATGCAATTCGGCGTTCAAATTCTTGGACTAAGATATCTTCCTCTCTTTGTGACATCTCCCATATATTCCCATCTTGCGTTTTCGACGTTGTTTCCCAGCCATCAGGTTTGTTTTTGAACTCAGAATTCGTAATGTTTGAATTGCTTAAATCATCATTAGGTGAATCAAAAATCCTACATTTGCACACACAACAAAGTGAAATTAAAAAGATATAGCAGGTCATCATGGTATCAAACTTAACCTTCAGATTGCATTGAAAGCAAGTATTCACCACATCAGCTCACACAAGTTCAGGAATTCCATACTCACATTCCACCAAAACAAAAGATGCTTGAAATGTGGCAAGATTTCTGACAAAAGGTATACTAAAGTCAACACATACTCAAGTGATATAGCCGCAATTCTACTACTTACGACTTGCTTTCATCATCAGTATCTTTCAAGACAATGTTTTAGCATAGGTAGTTGAAAACTTCTGTCTCCCCGGAATGAAGATATTTTTTCTCTTTTGGGATGCGCCAAGATTTCTTATATAGGAAAAAGATCTTGAATGGAAGTATACGAAACCCAATACAGACCTAGCCCTTAGCATTGGGTTCAACCGAATGGCTCGCAAGTAATGCATTGGGTTCAACCGAATGTATGCAAAAGATGTCAAAAAATGTCAATAAATAATAAGACTTCTACTAATCCGATCCACTAATTCTAAATTCTAAATTTTGAAGTCAAACAAGTGCATGATCAATACATAGCAGCGAAGATAACTATAAGGCAATGTAACAGTAACTTCTTGTTTGTTGCAATATATGGTAAACACAACATCCAAGATAGGAAGAGTATGTGGAATGATCTCAAAGGGACAATGAATGGAGTAAATTGGCCAAGTGTTCTAATGGGGGATTTCAATAGTATTATGTCCATTGAAGATAGAGTACAAGGGAACCCAGTACAAGATGTGGAAGTGAGAGACTTTAAAAACTTTGTAGAAGAGACTGGATTGTTTGAAATGAGAACAATAGGGAGATATTACACATGGACAAATAACACAGTACATAGTAGAATTGATAGAATCTTAGTCAACGCAGAATGGATACAAAAGTGGCCTCAAATGGAGGGGATCATCAAGCAACCTGAATTTTCTGACCATTGCCCATTGATGATAACTATGGCTGAAGATATAGTGCAGGGAAAGAGACCTTTCAAGTTCTTTAACTGCCTAGCAAATCACCAGAAATTTGAGGAAATAGTGAGCCATTGCTGGAGGAGGGAACATAGGGGCAACAAAATGCAAAATGTATGGTACAAGCTTAAAGAGATGAAAGGTGAACTGAAGAAGTTAAACAATCAGGAATACAGGAGTGTGGGGGAAAAGATAAAAGAAACACAAAACAAACTTCTACAGCTGCAACAAAATATGCAATCTCCAGAGAATGATACTGCAGTCATAGATGAAGAAAAGAAGACAAAAATGGAGCTGGTTAAATGGATGGAAGTAGAGGAGAGCATACTGAAACAGAAGGCTAGAGTCAAGTGGCTAAAAGAGGGGGATTCCAACACAGCTTATTTCCATGCCTGTGTGAAAAACAGACAGGCAAGGAATCACATTGGAAGACTTACAAACAATGAAGGGTATATACTGCAGAACACAAAGGAGGTTGAAGAGGAGATCCTACAGTTTTATAAAGCATTATTAGGTACAGCAGCATCTACCCTACCAGTAGTGAATCCAGATGTAATAAGGAGTGGGAATATGCTGAGCAGGGAACAACAAATGCAGCTAATAAAACCAGTCACAAAGGAAGAAGTAATGATAGCTTTGAAGGGTATAGATGATAGCAAGGCACCTAGATGTGATGGATATAATGCCTACTTTTTCAAGAAGACATGGAACATAATAGGAGAGGATACTACAGCAGCAGTTCTGGAATTCTTTGAAAGTATAGATTTGTGCAAAGCTATAAATTGCACTACTATTACTTTGATACCTAAAGTGAAGAACCCAACAAATATCAAGGAGTTTAGGCCTATCTCTTGCTGTACAGTGCTATATAAGATAATTTCCAAGATCCTAACAACCAGATTACAGGAAGTCATACCAGAATTAATAGACAAATGTCAAAGCTTTTGTCCCCGGGATAATGATAGCTGATAACATCATCATGAGCCATGAGCTAGTTAAAGGCTATGGAAGGAAAAATATATCACCAAGGTGTATGCTGAAGATTGATATGCAAAAAGCTTATGATTCTGTGGAGTGGATATATATAGAGCAAATGATGAAATTACTGGGATTCCCTGAAAAATTTGTAAGGTGGATAATGAAATGCATCAGTACTGTGAATTATACAATAGTCATCAATGGGCAACCAACAAAACCTTTTGAAGCAACGAAGGGGCTTAGGCAGGGAGATCCATTGTCTCCTGTGCTATTT